GTAATGGGTGAATGATGCCCAGCCACCAGTTACTGTCCTACTCTCATGTCCTCTGCAGGAGTTAAAAGATTAACCCAACAGTTGCGTCACTAGGGGGGGGGAAAAAAAGAAAAAGATAAGTATTCTCATTAAATAAACAAGAGAGGAAAATGTTCAGCCCATTATCCTGGAAGCTACATACTATAGGAATTGCAGTCAATGCAGTTTTCAATTTCAGTGTTTTATATATAAAAATTTCATACATAAGATCAGTTTGTATTGCTGAAGTATTCTAATTTTGCATGTTTGCTTCTCTTGAAATCTTTAACCAATTTTGCTTCTTGTTTCTGTGGGTTATACAGGTCTAGGTTACGAAATAAGTTTTGACAGAATTCAAAACTTGTTAAATTAACAGTTCTAGATAATATACATCTTCAGAGCAAAAAAGAAATATTAACATAACATTTATGCCTAACTCAAATGCTAACACCTTATACTACAGAAAGGCCACACAAATACAAAAGTACTTTCAGTTTGGCAAGTGGGACCTGTCGTGGGTTTCCTTCACCCTGAAGCTCTGCTATTTACAGAAACACTCAGCCAGGATTGCTCTATCCCTAGTAAGGAAAGACCTTAAACTAGAGGGCTTGGCTGGAACAGTGCAGGTGTTGATCTGGAGATTATCTCAGCTTCCTCATTCTGTGGTCCTGTGTGATAATGTGGGAGGTGGCAACTACTGAATTATTGTTGGGGTTTGGATAATTTTTCCTTTTTTTGATGTTCTAAGATGCTAAATATAATGTTGACACAATGGTTATCGACAGAAGAAGCAAGTAATAATATGAAGAATTACTGTCATCTGCAAGATTCTTGTGATGGGTAAATAACAGCTTCTAAAAGTTAAGATCATAAATGAGACCTGGTATTGCAGAATAAGGACTGATAGCACTGACACCTTATCTACATCTATGCATGGAAAGGTAGAATAGATTGGGTCTGAAGAGACCTGGGCAAAGAAAGGCAATGAAAAGAACCAATCAGTGTGTGCTTCATTATGAAAAGAGGTACCTATTTAAAAAACCAAAACTCCTCAGCCCTTCCTCATCAGGTTTTATCAAATCACCATAATGTTTTTGGATAAAGCTACAAACATCTGTCATAATATCAATATAATAAGAACAGATTCTCATAAGACTTTTTGATTTAAGACATCTTGATGAATAAAATACAATAACAAAAGGATAAATGTCATGGGGACTACAACAGCTCCAAAGATAATTTTTAGCATGTCATTGTAAGCAGAGCATGAAAGTACTGGAAAGGGAAGGAAGATTAAGGGGTGGAAGGGCTTTCCCCTCTTCTCTCTCCTCCCTCCTGCTCTGAGCACTAGCAGCAGCAATATGACCACTGTTGGTCATATCAGGCTTTTGCAAATGCTTAGGACTTCTCAAATATCTTTCCTCCACTCACTTTGCAGTAGGGCAATCAAAAAAGCTACTGTACTGAAGGTTGTACAGACAAGAAGTATTTAAGTACTTTTGAAGTAAAAAGTTACAATAAAGGCTGAAAAACAGCAGTAAAAACTTTAATGAAGTTTGCTCTGTTTACCTCGTAAAATATGTTTGATCTCAATCTATCAGAAAAATTATGGAAGGCACAGAAATTTTAGAATAAGGATATTCAGCCTACTGCTCCAATACAAAATAGGAAATTGTAGCTAGACCAGAAATAAAAGATACGTTTTTAATGGCTACAGTGATAAATGAGCTGGTAACCAAAGGCTGTGGCTACCAGTGTTTCCAGTGATCATCCATTATTAGAAATTATCAAATCAGGAATGAATATTTTAGGAAAGGTGCACTCTTATGTAAGCAGGAATTAAACCATTCTAGTCTTCTGTTTCCTGGCATTGAGACTGGACGAGTACATTTGTTCCTAAAGCCTTAATGATGTCCAACATTTTAGGCAGAAGAAGCCACAGAGGTTCCTACAGAGGCATTTGAAGATCACAGGACATGGCTTCTCATCATTGGATGAGACATCTGGAATTTAATGAAAGTTCAGACATTGTCTGTTGTGTTGGGTGCAAGCCCAGTGATAGGACAGGACAGGCAAACAGTCTTGTTGAGTGACCCAGAATACTTCCAAATTCCCCTAACATAACAGGCATGCCTTCGCTATTGGGCTGAGGGACTGGTTTTAATAATGTGATTGATACATATTGTACTGTGGAAGGCCGTGGCTTCCTCAGGAAACTGGGAAGAGGAGGAAATAAGCAAGATGCTCTGAGTCATCACCCACCTGTCTTTGAGATGGGATGAGGTGCAACCTGCATTGCTTTCATTAGTAGAGTGCTAACTGGGAACTCCTGCCTGTATCTTTGAGGTGAGGATTCAGAACTCCTTTCTTAATGCCATCACTGCTTTAATGCAGAAGACAGGTAATTAAATGTCCTTTGAAGAGGCATCCTGAGATTAGTCCTATAAAACCAATATCTGAAAAGTTTTCTGATCTATTATTTTGTATCAGAATATTTATGATCAATGTATAAGTGATATAGAATGATACTCTGTTCTAGCTTTTCAGTGAAGTTGCTGCTGGGTAATAGCTGATGCCCTTTCTGAAAGCCAAAGAACAGTGTCTCTATCCTGCATAAGGAGTTGGATTGAGATTTTGTAAGTGGAGTATACTTGGACCAGAAGGATGTTAAAGCAGTCTTGTTTATCTTCACTGCACACATTTTTTAGTAAAGATTTGCTGTTGGGAGATGCAAAAGACTTAAATATAAGCAAGCATTTTATGAAATTATTAAAAGCAAACTCTATTGTCAATATCCAGTTTATAATTTCCCTGTGATTAATTATCCTTATACATCTTACTCACCCGAATAGCTTATGAGCTTTTCTGACTCAGTTTGGGTTTTTTCTCCAGTCTTCCTGTTTCCATCTTAATTCCCAAATTTCTAGTGCACTTCCTTGTAGTAGTCTCCAGGGAGACAAAAGTAGAACATGAAAGTGGGAGCATAAAATCCAAACTGTTTCATTGCCCACTGTATGTAAAGTAAGACATAAGCAGCAGCTACTGATATAAAAGCTTTTAGAAGAAAGGTCAAGCTCTTTAGTAGTGACCAATGTGTTGTAGGAGAGGAATGGAAGATTATGTAATGTAGTATGCAATATTTTTTTTGTATATTTGTCTTGTATGTTACTCAGAGGAGATAACAATAACAGATGTAGCATGAAGACACATTTCCTGGCATGAGCTTAGACACAGTAATGCCAGATAGTCCCAAATGGAAAAGAAAGGGATTTGTTGTGCTGACTGTCCTTGTGAGACTAATCACTCTAATGTTTTTTAATGTGTGAGCTCCAAAACTGTATGTTTTTATGGTATATGCAATTTGTTATTAATATAAAATACACTGTACTTCAATAATATGTAACTAATGTAAAGAAGCATGCTATTCTTACAGAAAAGAGTACACCTGGAATTATGGATTTAAATAGAAGGAAGAGAATTTGATTCAGCTGTGTTTGAGAAGGGTTTAAAAAACTTTTGTTCCTGGAAACAATGAGATACAAACCTGTTTGCATAGTTGATCTCTGGCCAGAAAGGATTCCTGTCAAGTGAAATATTAACCCATAAGGAATGCAGTTTCTTAGGGCAATGAGCTATTGGCTTCAAACAAACCTTTAATGCAGAGCTAGAGTGACCATTTAAAAAACATGTATGCATCCAGTGGTCTAGATGGCTGCCAGAGCAGAACAGCATTACCCTATCTTTTAGCTATAGCTTACCTGTTTGTAATTGGCCTGGTTCTGTAGTGCTGAAAAGTAATTTCTAGCTGTATAATGGCCAAATGTCAATTACTTTGGTTGTGTCATTGCTGCAGGCAGGTGTTCATATTATGCAAACTATCATAGCAGCTGGGAACTCTATTAGTAATTCTAATGTTTCAGGATAGAGAGAGTTCAAACAATGTTTTCTTCCCTTTCTGTTCTATGGAGCAGAGTCTCTTCTGGGACTAATGATCTTCCTAAGCAAGCTCAAATTTACACTAGATCCATGACATAAGAGGCATGAAAAGGGCAACATGACAAGCTCTGAGCCTGCTGAGGGTGATAGGTATCAAGTCCCAAACCTCATTCCTTTGCAGCAGGATGTGCTAGTTCTGCTAGTGAGTGCCAAGTTCAAGCTGCACTCGCTGAACCCGCCAGGTAGTTGCTGCTACAGGAAATGCTTTTTAGCTCCCAGGAGGCATTTGTGCTAAAATGCCAAAATACCAGTGGAGCAACTCATTCCTCCTGTCAAATGAGAAAGGGCTAAGCCTCTAAAGCACAACCTAGACCATAATGTTCAGGGTAAATTTTGTGTTTCCCTCTTTTTTTGTTTGCAAAGTCTGACTTTCTGTCCATGGGCTCTGATGGGCTTTGCAGGTGTTCGTATGCACAGCTGGGGGAGGTCCAAATGTGTTGGACTCACAGTTGTGGAATAATTAAAAAAACCCAACACAACTGTGTTCTCTGCAGAGTGAGTTTCTTCTTCTAAGCACCTTTCACTTCCCAGTGACTTGGTGGCACCACGGAGATACTAACAGTAGGACTGATCTGCTGCTTTTTATCCTGCTTTTTTTCAATCCACTCATAGGTTCTTGTAGATTCCTTAAGAACTTTTTGACTAGGACGTTGTGGGGAGGGGAGATAGGAGGAGGTAAAGATTACATGCCAAATCCTACTCACTTGTGATGCTGAAAGGGGAATTTATTCATGGAAGGCATATGACCTTACAAGAAAAATGAAAGGCTTTATCAATAGCAACGTTAAAACTATCATTGCTAGGAAGCTGGGTTAATCCAGAAGAAAGGAGTGGCTCCCTTTGCAGTGCTTTTACTTTTTTATTTTTCACAGTGTCATTCCAACATTCATTTCACATTGGATGAGTTCACAGTCACAGCAGAAAGAGTAAGAAAATACTTTCTCTCGAGTTTCTTCTTGCACTAAATGTGTGACTGTAGCCTCACAGGAGGACTGTTCTGGACAGCTTCCAGGAAGTGTCTCAGCTCTCATTAAACACAGATCATTAAACATATTGCATGAAGAGTCACTGTGGCTGTCACATATAGTTAAGCCATGCTACTGCTGTTACTACTATGTAAAAGGTTATGTTTTAGTACCATTACAATTTTGCCCACAAAAAGATGGAGAAAATGAACCAAAGCAGCCACTTTGCTTTCCCTAGATCCTTCCTATCTCATACCTGTTAATATTGACCTGTGGAGGGATTGCACTCCTCAGCAAATAACTAGTCAGTGGCTTACAGGCAGAGTTGATTGAAAACTCTGGCTACATGTATTTGTGGGCCTACAGTTTGTGTTGCTTTCAACGACGAGGAAAATAAGACTTTTAAGGGACTAATTCTTTGAAACACTAAACATTTCTGGCAGGGCCCTTTGAGTAGAAAGTGGGGACCTGATACTCTTGCAGTACCTAAGTGATGTAGTTTTAAAAAGAGATAAAAGAGAGAAAATACAGCCTTAAAGGGGATTTGTAAATGCCTTCTCAACAGGAGAAACTACTGAGCTCTTACGACAGCATCTAGAGTCTTCATAAGATCATCTTTCTGATGGAGCCATATGGAAAACAGCACATCAGACTGCCCACCCTTCAGTTAGTGATAAAATTGCTGCTAAGCCCATGGACAGGATGGGTCCTGATGTGATGGAGATCACTGCTACTATTTTTAGTCTGTATTTCAATAGCTTCAGAAGTCTTAAGGAGGTCATATCTTGTCTCTCATCTCTACCACAGGAATCTTTGCTGTACTATCAGTTACTATATGTTTGAAGCTAGGATGCCGACTAGTTCCAGCCTTCTTCCTATGTGCTTTTAGTAATACACAGGCAGAGCATTTAGTCATTTGTGATACAAGTACAGCTGGTGGTTAATGTTATTGCAGTACAACTAGTAGAAAAAGAATAAACTGTGTGAGACAGGAACTAAATGCTTGAATAGAAAATCTCCTTCCTTTAAAAAAACAAACCCAAAACAAAAGAACCAAAACCACAAATACCCCTTACTGATTCTGTGTTCCACTTAGCTAGTTCTGCTTTTATGTAAAAAAACCCCAGAACAGAATAAAAACCCCACCCCAAAAGAAAGAAACAACCCTCCCTCCAAAGCCACAGCTAAGGTGATAAGGTGATTGATAGATAAATTAACCAATTGGATTTCAGCTTGCTTAGATCTATGTGATAACCCAGATCTTGTAACTGGGAGCACTAACTATATGTAAAACAAAGAACAACAAAAAAAAAGAAAAGTTAAATTTTGAAGATAATCTGTCACCCCCAAATTTAAGGAAATGGAATCCTGTTGTTTTATTTTCATTATGACAGAAGATAAACAGATAATTTTATTTGTGATCCAAACAGAAACATATTCTGGCATCTGTTCTAGGCCAATAGTTGCTCTTGCTATGAACATGCTCACATTTTATTGCATTGGGCTATTTGCCACTTTATGTAAGCTACACCAGCTGCTCTTGCTCTTGCACGACAGATTACTGTATGCAGCATTCTGGTTTTCCCTAAAGCAGATAACGCTCCGTAAAATCCGGATAACTAAGTCTCTAGGAAGTGATTGTAAGTTATATTAAAGCTGTGATAACTGAGAACAGAAACAGCCTTGAAGAACTGTACTAAAAAGCTGCTATGTCAAGAGAAGATTGTGGTTGTGGGTAGCTGGTTTTGTTACTGGGCCTAATGTATGTTCTTACCTGCTACATTTTTTTCTACTATTTGCTCCTTTCCTTAAAATTGGCACACGATTAAGAGAAATATTAATAACAAACCTAAACACTAAGAACATTTCTATTTTGATTTTTATGGCAATGAAATACATTGAAATCGGTTCAGATCTACTTGAAAATAAAGCCCCTGAATCCTCTTTGTTGCATTTCTGTGACAGGTTTCATGCTCTGTTTTCTTGGCAACCTTCTGCATGGGAAGCAGCATTATGCAAATAAAAACTGAAATGCAAATCACAGAGGAAAAATATAACGCAATTTTTCTTGACATCTTGGTGATATAGGATGGATTATGTTATCACAAAACTAAACCAAGTTCTTTTTCTGAGTTGTAAACTCTGCCTCACCTACATTTTAAAACCAGTTCTCCTATGATTTGAATGCAACACGGCCACAAAATCATATTAATTCCAAATTTAGGAATGTCATGCTTAAGTGGTAGTTGAACTTTGCTGGTTTTGACTAGGTGTTGGTAATTAAAGCGCTCATGAGTACAAGGTTATGTAGGCACTGCTGCTGCGGGAAAAAGTCAAAGTATAATTGGTCTGAGGATGTGGAGAGAAGCAGCAGGGGATGCTGGTAGGGACAGTAAAAGCTCAACAGGGTTACGGAAACCTGCCAAATCTCTATCCTCACTGCAGGGAGCTCCTCGTGCTGCCAGGCAGTAAGGAAAACAGATGGCTGTTGCTTTTGAAGACACTAACATTCATTTCTGTGCCTGTTGTGTATTTTTTCTCCTTCCCCTCAAGTTTCCAACTCCTGCAGTAGCTCCTGTAGCAGCCAGCCATTGGCAGACATGTTGGAAGGCAGCCACGCAGGCGGGCGAGTTTCAGCTGAAGATGATGGTTGCTTTGTTTTGGTTTTCCTTTTCCCCACAATTGCCTCCACAATTTGGCAAAGAGATGTCAGGATTAGAAATAGTGGGATTGGAGAATATGCCAGAGTCTATTAGAGAGAAAGAGGCAGAGCTATACTAAATGGGGAGATGGAGCAGTGCCAGCAGGAGTGTGGGCGTGGGGGTTTGGATGTAACTAGCACAGCCGGCCAAACATACCCTAACATGGACCCTTCACAGTTATGTGCTGAATAGTCCTCTATATTTGTGCTTATTTTCAGTGGGGTGCAGCCAATACCTGTAGATGGGGCCTTGTTTTTTCCTCAAAACCAGCAATGATGTGGATCCTGTGAAGTCTGTAGCATGCATCATTTCACAGAAGTCATTTCACAGAATGCTCTAAATCAAATCTCTGCGTCTAAAAGAGAAGAACACGAGATGGAAAAAAAATTTATGTTTAAGTTTGTTTCCAATGTATTTCACTTACTCTGAAGGATTGTAAGGCTGGTTTTTCCCTTAGCTTTCTGGAACTTTTAATGCATTTGTATGCTATTGTGAAGAGTAATAAAGTAGTGGTTTGAAGGAAGACAGAAATGTGTAGGATGCTTAATTTTAATTGTATAATATCACTAAGAGAGCTCAAAGAAAGAAGCAAGCTTGGGCTGATTTAGCAAGTCAATGAAATATATGTATAGATTGACATGAGGAGTAATGATGGCACCTGGCTGACTTGTCACCTACCTGAGAGGAAAAAATCTGCCCTTGTAAAGGTTTTCTGACTGTTGATCTCAACCAATGAGTGATTCATGCTTTTAACAGATGTTTCTGATTTAGGCCAATGAAAGCTTATGGGAGCTTTTTCTAGTCTCTGAGGGAAGAGCGCCAGCCCAATCCAACAAGCACATTTGGAGCTTGGCATTTCAATTTATTAGCAAAGCTGGATCATTTCCTCTTGCAGAAGCTGTGTGCCATCATTATTCTATGACACCATAAAAAATTGATAATTAGTACTGACTTGTTATTTTTGCCATCTCATGCACTTAGTCATTTAGCCACTATTGTTATCTACCAAGTAAGACACTAAAGCCACTTATTCAAAAGGCCTGCCTGGCTTGTCCAAAATAGCTCACAATTCCCAAACCAGCAAAATATGTTGCATACAATTACTCATGTAGCTGCCCCAGCTACGTGAGTAATTGTAGCAAATATTTCTAGACGCAGAGCCACAAAACAAACTCAAGATGGCTCTGTGTTAGCCAGGATTTGCCTTTTTAAAATTATTGCTAATGTCATTAACATCATAAAGCAAAGTAATGGGACTCTCTGGCAGAGGCCAAACACAGCAGAAAGGATCTCAGTCAGTAACATAATGTAACAATAAAACCAAATTCATGGGGTTGGTAATCAGAAACTATATCTTCATTTTTATCAGCTACATAGTTACTGCAAATTTTCATCAAATTTCATCTGCACGATGCTCAAGTCCAGTATTGCTTGGCTTTTAGATTGGCACGGCATAATGTATAATTTGTTTCATACCTACCTTGTATAATAGCTGAAAATAAGTGCCATTTCTGGAAGACACAAAGCTTCATAATATAAAAAATATATACAGTCAATCAGCCTTCTCTTTAGAATATTCAAAAGTGATTTGATGGCAAATGTTTTCATGGAATTAGTGGGAGTCCCGAGGGACTGTTCCTGTCTCCCCATCATGCTGTGACAGTTGCCAGTTCATGGGGTTGGAGAGCAGTTTGCTTCATTTGCTTCCTCCACACTGCTGCTGCATCTCACCCTGAATTTGTCAGAAACCACTTCCCAAAAAAAACAGGTGTCAAAATTTGACAATATTTCGTGTATTTCACTGATGTCAGTCACTATATCCACACACTCTTTTGTGTGGATATTTGGAAGCCAAACTGAAACTAAGTGTAAGGTCTTTAAACAAATGAACTGAGGGAGATAATGAGGGGATTTTGGAGAACAGTTATTGCTACAGTCAAGGAACTCCAATAGAGGCATCTAAATATTGGACAGAGGTGTATGTTTAATTTATATTCTTTTACATTTACCTATGATGGCATAGTTTATCATCATTCTTTTGTCCGGTCTTTGGTTTACGAGCCTCACATGGGAAAGATAAATTTAGCACAAAATAGCCATAGTGCATTAAATCACAAAAAGAAAAAAAATCCAGTTAATAAGTTCTACAGAAACTGGACTTAGGACTCACTGCTAAGGTATTTCAGAGCTATGGATCAGTATTTTTTATTACTGCTGTAGAACACAGTCCATCTAACTACCAGTAAGCATACACCAATAGACTAAAACACCTGTAGACACTGATAAATCAACTTGGACTTGAAATGATCATTTGATAAAAAACATAACATTTCTCAAAAAAGACTGTAATATAGGTATAGATCCTTAATTTATGGCTTCCATTTAGGGATGGTCTGTGATTAAAGCACTATATTATTTCTTTGCTTTTAGCCCCAAGTAACCCTGCCTCTTTTGCAGTATTCGAACCCACAAGTTGCTGAAGCATCTGGTGCAGAGTGTAGAACACGAGTGAACATTTGAAAATGAGCGGCAAGGGTTTTCTTGACTCATTAATATTAACATCATTGCCCTGTGGAATCTGAAATGAGATAGGCGTTGCTTTGTGACTTCCTATTCTCAATAGTCTTGGAATTTTATTTTTTTATGTGCTGTAGATACAGGCTTTATACCCCTGCAAAGAGAAATTACATTTTCTCCAAGACCTTAACTTACAATGTGGCACAGTGGTATGTGTGATAAGAGACATGGGACCTCTGAAACTATACCTAGTTCCCCGTTGTGATGCTGCTGTTTATCTCATCTCTCTGAGCATGTATTTTTTGAAATGTACTTGAGGAAGATGCAAAACCTCATGTTAGTGGGTTCAGGGGTTTGAAGGGAATTAATTGTACCAGTCTGAAAATGTGGAGTAAATTATTTGACTCCATCCTAAAGAGGGGGCTGAGAGAGCTGTGTGTTTTCTCACTAGTTTGACTCTGGAATGAGAAATTTTTCTCACAGCTGAGGGATTTAATAATCTCCTGGCTGCAGGCTTTGAACTGAAAATACACCCTACTATCAGAGTGAGGTTCCTCAGGCCCTAATATGGGATTATGGTAATAATCGCACGGTTTAATAAAATGTTGTTGGGATTTGTGCAGTAGCTGTTCAGACCATGTCAGCATAAGCACTGGCCATGACAACAGGACGTGCAAACTCTCAGCTCTGCTTAGAGCAGAAGGCAGCAGGCCAGTAAAAGGCAATGTTTCTAACAGATGCTGAGGTTATAAGACTTAAGGTTATAGGATGTTTAAAACCAGATTTTTATAAAAGATGACACGGTAAAGTTTTGTGTGTTTTTTTACAGGCTGCATTGCATGTAACAGTGCTGCCCTTTGTGTAGACACTGAGATCTATTTCAGTTCCAGGGGAAGGAAAAGAGAAATCAAATGATTAATCAAGCCACTGTTCGAAGTCACAATGTGACATTAACATGTAATCAATAATACCGTGTAATTCTGGTTATTTTGGTCAAAAATATTTTTCTCATGTGCATAATCTCTCTCATCTGTTTGGTTTTTTTTTTTTTTTTGGTGTGTGCAGTCCTTACATGAATGTTAACGGTTGATTTTTGCCTGCCCTGGCTTCCTGAAGAATTGCTGTTCTTTGTATGTAAGTGTAATTATGTATGGTTTCCTTACTGGGATTATTAGAAAAATCTATTCTTGAGCAGTGATCAAGCTTGAAGTGAAGGGTCTAATTTGATCACAACCTTTTAGCATCTGACTTAACTCTCTTTTTGGGACTGTTCATCCTCTCTGCCTACATCTACAATTGGTAGCACAGCTGTTGCTGATCTATGCAGTGGACACTTAAAGTGCCCACGAATATCCTACACTCCGAGAAATTTTTTGTTTAAGAAAAAATAGATGAATTCCTGTAACAGAACATACTTTAGATTGAATTTGTCTATCTTGTTAGCTAGTATTGAGTACTGTTTAAATTGGTACTGCAACGGATCTTAGCAACTGCATGTGGCTGATGTGGAATTTCTGATCATACACAATCAGGATAAGCTTTCACTTCACTATAGCTTTGAAATTATATATAATGATATGAATAAATCATATATAGATTTACAATTGCCTTAATTAATTTTTGAAACCACAGTGATGGGAAAATGTCATGTGGTTCAATATTTGTTTTCCAATCAGCCAACTAACCAGGTGTCTATATATTTCTATGTATTTTCAGTGTGACACAACTGGGACCACAGGCTCAGCTTCTGAGTTTGTCTGGTGCTTCCTGTTGGGATGTGTACATATGGATACTCAGAAATACTATGAAGAAATTAAATAAGATTATTCAGCAATAAATCAGAATTTCTGGTTCTGGACGGCTTTTAAGTTTGGATCTGCAAACAGTCGAAGATCAAAAGTTGAAACTTCTGTATTTTCTAATCTAATTTTATATCTCATTCTTCAGATTTCATGAGTATTTTAATGTTTTGCAGATATCAAGACATTTTCCTTCATTGAGCTTATCCAGGGGCATTTAGGAAACCTCATCTATTTTCTGGGGTATTCTATCCTCACAGTATAAATCTCACATTTAAACTCCATAGTAAGTCATACTGGCAACTTCTTTTTTAAGAAGATTCCCATTAAAAATGCCTCTGTGGCATCGACCTGCTTTTAATTTAGAATGTTTTCATATAGTTTCCTTTCTTGCAGTATTACTGGACAAGAGAACCTTGTGGACTTCTCGTCCTTGTAAGGATTTGCAAAAACACCCTGAGACAATGTTTAGTGAGACTGTGCTTTGTACTAGCTGAAATTATGTTGGTGAGGGTTGGTAACATGAAATTAAATGATACACACTAAATAGGCTTTGTTGGCTGGCAAACTGGTGGAAAGTGAAGAAAGAGGAATGTCTGGGTAAGGACAACTACTGTGTAGTAGCAAGCTGACTGTGATTTCAGAGAAAATACATCTAATTTTGTCTTAGGGAACTCCCTGATTTTGCACCTGGTGTTCCTATAGAAATAGGTATGTCTTGAGTCCAAAATGCTGAAAATTTTAATGGAGTTCCAAGTTTTTCCACACATTTTTTGTGAATGGTAGCTTTCCGGAAACCATTATAACAAGCATGGAAATGACAGAAATAGTGCTAGAAGTGAAGCTCCACATGAGTTTTCTATTTCAGCAGGGTTCAGAGTTTCAAGAAAATCAAGCAACTGATAGATGGGTCACATCCCTGCTTGGCCTTAGGGCCAGCTGCCACTCTGCATACATGAATGCACGAGTCATCTCAATGCCTACAGTAGGAGGTAGCCCCATGGGTTAGGGTAACATGACAGCTTGTTGGAAATTAGAG